CTTAGAAATACCTTTGCAGCAAAATAAAAGTCTGCAAGTATTTAAGTGTGTTGAACTTGGAAATGCACACAGGTGCTGATAACAGCCTTACTTCATGGACTACCACAATGGAACTACTAAATTAATTCCAAAACACTAAACAATTTATTGTCTTACATATGTGGCCACTGCCTTCAATCATGTCATCACACACATTTTTTTTAAAGTTTATATTGATACAGAATTCCATTAAAACAACCCCTAACAATGCATGAAGATAAGGTGTCATTTTAAATTTGAGGCAAACAAAATAGAAGAATAATGACACTTCAATTACCAAGAGAGAAATGAGGTGAGACAAGGTTTCTGATTTTCTGGTGAGGAGAAACACTTTCTCTAATATGAGATTGTCAGGATAATTTTGAGTGGAGCTAGGTGAATATTATAGAGCAGGTATCACCTTCTTTTCACACACCAGCAGTAATCAAGGGGCTCCAGTGGCAGCACAGAGATGCTTTACTCATAACCAGTCATGTTATGCTACTTAATCTACATGCACAGAGATCTTGCCTCAACACCATTAAAAAGAAAATGCAAAAAAAAGGGTATGACAGAGGAAGAATCATTAAAATTGTATCACATCATCATATAAGAGAGTGAAAGCAGATCTAATGTGAACTCTGAAAAGGCTGATGAAGGGTCTCTACAGGAAAGATACTTCCTGCACAAATGGGCTTCACCTAACACTGTTTTCATTCTCCTCTAAGGATGAAGCATGATCAGGTGGACACCTCAAAGCACCATGATAAGGATTTGAGCAAAGGAACACAAGTCCATCTACTGAATAAAGTAACTTTTGGATCAAACCTTAAAAAAACAGTTCAAACTGGGAAGAAAGGCAGGAAAAAAAGTACAGGTGACAGATTAGTCATTGGTCTTACTCTTCTTATTTTAAAAACAATCCTATTACTAAATCACCAATCTTTTCTTCACAGATCATAGACTTTTTTTTCTTTACACTATTTCTCCTTTGTAACATTGCTATTTCTGAAATAACTATTATCATCTTTATGATACAACATTCAAGACTACCAAGATACGTTCAACAGAAGATTTTTAATTAGAACATGAGTTCCAGATATTTGGGTCTGAGTTCTGTATTTTGTAAAAGCAACCCCAAGACTACAATTTCACATAAGCGTAAGGCAATGGCAAGTTGATGCTTTGCTTTGCATAATAAACAAACTCTGTTGACAAGTGATTGCTAAAAGCTTAACACATCACAGAGGAGGAAAAGAAAATAAAATCCTTTTGTTTCATGCTCTTTTCCACTAAAATCCCAACAGTTCCATATAGTGCAAGGTTTCCCACCATCATTCAGATCACATCTGATTAACTCAACATAGAAGACTCCAGCTGAAAGATGAGCCTCAGCTTCATTCTCATTACCTTTCCAGGGCACAGTCGTACAATCTAAATTAAGAAATCCTATCTCAATGTTGCAGCATTACAATACCTTATATTACATACAGTAGATTTTTGGTGATGTATTTCATCATTTCCAGGCAGTCACCACGATGACCAAACGCCAGCAAGGTGCCCTTGCTCCAAAGAAAGCCAGTGGTACCCTGGAGTGCATTAGTCAAAAATATTGCCAGCAGGCTAAGGGAGGTGATCCTGCCCTGGAGGAGCCACAGCTGGAATGCTGTGCCCAGTTCTGTGCTCCTCAGCACAGGGCAGGCATGGACACGGTGGAGAGAGTGCAGCAAGGGGCCACAAACATGAATAAGGGACAGGAGGAAAGGCTGAGAGAGCTGGGACTGTTTCGCCTGCAGAACAGAAAAGCTCAGGGGAGAATCTTACCAGTGTATATAAATACCTAAAAGAAAGTGAAGAGATGATGGAGACAGGCTGTATCCCGTGCCAGAACCAGAGGTAACAGGCACAAACCAAAATGCAAGAGGTTCCATCCAAACATCAGGACACACCTTCTCAAGTGAGGGTAACTGAGCACTGGCACAGGTTGCACAGGGAGGTTGTGGAGTCTCCATTTTTGGTGATACCCAAAATCACCTGGACATTGTTCTGGGCAACTGGTCTTAGACTGGCCCTGCATCAGCAGCAGGGCTGGACCTGACAACTGCCAAAAGTCCCTTCCCAACCTCAACCCTTCTGTGGTTTTCTGTGTGAAGGAAATTTACCTGTGACAGACCGCAGCAGTGTAATGAAAAATTTCTGTCATCACTTCTGGTGTATCAACACCATCTGGAAACATGGAAGCGCACCACAGTTCCTCTCTCATCCAGCTTAACAGCTGGAGCTTAAGCTTCACCCAGTGCTGGGGTTTTTGTTTTGTTTTACTACCACCTAGCAAATATTTTCCATGTCCTTTAGCAAGTCCCCCGGTGGGAACACAATCATCAAAAAAAGAATGGATGCCCAGAATTGAATTTAGGAATTAAAATATGTAGCAATAGAGATTCTTTATCCTGTGCTAACTACAAGTCCTAAATACAGGATTTCTCGCTGCATTAATAGAAAACAAACATATATACATATTCTGTGCCTCTTCCATCAGCCAGCCAACTTTCTCAGGAAAAAGCATTACAGCTGCGCTATTCAGTTAGCTTCCAACATACAAAAGGAAAACGCCATCAGAGGTGTCTCTTCAAACAAAGTAACTAGACCAAGCATCAATCCCTGAGCTCATGCCTCATCTACAAGTCTGCAGAAAACGCTGTACCACGATATTAAGGCCGAACACCTGAAACGCGCGGCTCCACGAGCCTGCCGAGAACAAAGTGTGCCGGCAGCACCCCCGGAGGCCGTGGCAGCGGCTCCCTGCGGCGGAGGGGTGGCGATGACATCATGCCGGGCTGGAAGCGGCAGCCCTGGCGCAGGAGAGCCCCGGAGGGACCCGCCGTGCCCGACCCGGCCCCGCAGCCCCGGCCCCGCAGCCCCGGCCCCGCAGCCCCGACCCCGCAGCCCCGGCCCCGCAGCCCCGGCCCCGCAGCCCCGGCCCCGCAGCCCCGGCCCCGCAGCCCCGGCCCCGCTCCCAACAATGGGCACTTATGAAGCCAATTGTTTCAACAGTAGGACGATTCAGAAGCTATTTTGCAGCGCAGAAATCAGAGGGAGAGGGGGAAAAAACACAGGGCACAATGACCCTTTCATTCAAACAAGAAAGGCTTCCAGGAAGTACAAAGTGTTTCCAAGCTTTATCCAAAAGCCACTGAAATCTACAGAGGCTCTCTCCATTTTTATCAGTGGACACTGGAGGAGACTATAACGCAAGACACATTTTGAAAGCATTATCAGTCACACTATCATGCATTATTAATAACACAACAAACTCAAGAAAACGCACCCGAATTCCACCTAGCCCTTATGCTGTGACATTAGCTGAAATTTCCCCCCTTCTTCTTTTAAAATCTTTTCTCAAATCACATAAAAATCTGTCTCCCCCAACCTCACACCTTGTCACAAGTAACACCATTCCAGAACGATGGTGGAGCAGCAGAGACCAGGACATATCACACGCTACAGTTTTATACACTACAGATGCAGTCCTTGACCAAGAAAGCAAATACAGAAAGAACATCATGCTCCAGCTTTCAGACCTGCACACTCTGACAGAATATTTTTTAAAAGGCACTGATATCTTCCAGTTTACTATTAGCTAGCCCAAAGTAATGCACTGCTGGTTTTAGATTGAATTATGTGAGGAGAATTATTCATGTGACTGTCAAGAACAGGGAGCATTACTGAGTGTGTTTTGCACCACATTCCACAAATAGGTTTACAGCAAATTAATCACAAAATTAACATATTGTTGTTTTTGATCTATAAACTTCATTTATTTGTCATCTCGTTTTAAAAAACCTTCACATATCTCTCAATGAAATTGCATTGCATTTTGTTCTCTTAGATTTCTTAAATCAATACTGTAATTTGCAGTGCCTCAAGTCTCAAACTGTAGCCTACAGTCACTTTAACATTAGACAAACATGAATTCTCTTAGGGTAAGGTACTGCTCAGCCTGAGGGACAGATAAGAAATTTTGTTTGAAGATATTAAATGAAAAAGTTTAGAAGAGCCCAATGCAAGAAGTCAGTTCTAATAACACGAATTCCACTCTATTACGAACAAGAATTTATTTAGCAATGAACAGCTTAAATGCAATGATGTAAAAAAAAACCATGACACCTTATAAAAGTGAACTAACAAAAAAAAATCGAGGTTGAGGGCGAGAGAATGTATTACTGGTCAAGTTCAGAGCTAAAATACACAGAATCAGCTGATGTTAGGTCAGGTTTTCACCACCACATTCCTTCATCTTTCCGAAGAGTTAGAGATGCTAAGCAACACTGATTTAACTGAGGCCAGTACAGTAAGACTAAAGCTGAAGCGAGGTGCTGCTAAAACACAGAACTGATTTTAACGTTAAAAACACTGGTATGACAACAGTGGTGTAGTCTAGACTGATACGGTTTAGTTGTGTATTTGGTGTGAACATTCTCACCTAACAGCAGAATAATCACTTCCTAATCCGATTTCTTTTCGGATACTGCCGCAAGAGAATTCTTATCCTGTGCTACAAAAAAAAGTTAACACTGAACACGCAAATTATCTTCGCTTCCTCTCCCAAATCCGACTCCTTAAGAGCGCCTGTGTGTCTCAAATGCCTGGCTAAAGTTGATACACGCAACGCGGCTCCGAAGACAGCGCAGGACATCGCCGCCGAGGCTGAGACGATCTAACGCGATGCCACCGCACCGAAACACCGCGCTCTGGCCGGCCCGTCTCACGGCGCTGCCTTGCCGGGCTTTTGGGGACTTCGGTCACTTGTACCGATCCCGGTCCGTGCCCAGCCGGGCACTCCCGCATGCCCGGGGCTCCCGGCGGGGCACGGGCTCCCAAAGCAGCGCCCGGGGCTCCCGGCGGAGTGAGCGGGCAGCGGCGCGGGCGAGCAGCGCGACGGGACCCCGCCGCCCCCGCTCCCAGCACCGCCGGCCACTCACCGGAGAGCTCGTCCGGCTCCAGCCCGGTCTCGGTGTCCAGCCCGCAGATGACGAAGTAGTCGGCGAAGCGGCCGGGTGCCGAGGAGCCGCCGCCGCTGCCGCTCATGCTGCAGGGCGAGGGGCGCGCGGGGCTCAGCGGGAGCGGGGCCGGGCGGCGCCGGGAGCGCGGCCGGGATCTCCGGCTGCGCCCGCCGCCTCCATGGCGGCGCGGGGCGGGCGGCGCCGCGCGGCATTCTGGGAACGGCCCCCGCCGCTCTCTGAGGGGGGGGCGGCCCGGCAGCGCGCCGCAACGTCGCGCATGCGCCCTGCGCGCGGGGTGACGTCATGCTGCTGCTGCTGGCGCTGCTGCTCGCGCCGGGGCTGCCTGAGGGGCGGCCATGGCGGGCGGTCACGGCCGTGCCCCGGCGGAACTGCGGGACGGGCTCTGGTCCCTCCGCAGGCACAGAATCGGGGGATAGGGCAGGCTGGAAGGGACCATAGCGGGTCGTCTGCTCCGAACTCCCTGCTCAAGCAGGGTCATTCCAGAGCACATGGCACAGGGTTCTGTCCTGACCGTTCTTGAATATCTCCGGTGACGGAGACCCCACACCCTCTGTGGGCAGCCTGTTCAGTGCTCGGTCACTGCGCAGTAAAGAGGTTCTTTCTCACGTTCAGGTGGAACTTCGTGCTTCTTCCCGTTGCCTGTTGTCTCTTTGCTTGGCACCACCGAGCAGAGCATGGTTCGTCCTCTGTCACCTCCACTGAAGATATTTACAGATATTGATGAGGTGCCCTCCCAGTCCTCTCTTCTCGAGGCTGAACAGAATCACAGAATCAATTAGGTTGGAAAAGACCCCTGAAGTCGAGTCCAACCTGTTGTTTCCAGGCCCAGTTCCCTCAGCTTCTCCACACAGGAGAGAAGGTCCAGCCCCTTGATGAATTCTGTAGCCTCTGCTGGAGCCGCTCCAGGTGCTCCATGTTTCTCTGAGGAGCCCAGAACCAGAAGCAGCCAGAGGCCGGGAAGGCACTGCCGGGGCTGCTCGCTCAGGACACGGATCAGCCTGGTGGTGCTTGCTGTCGAAACACCTCTGGGCTCGTGTCCTCCTGTCACCTTTGTTTTCCCATCCCCACAGCTCCTCCACAGCTTTGTGAAGCAGCTGTGTGTGCAGAGAAATACTTTAGGGATTATTTGGCTATAAGGCTGTTTTCTTTTTCCTATTTGGATTAACATCACACACATCTCTGTTAACAGTTGGGCTTGCACAGAGTGAAATCCACTCCCAGCTCTGGCTCAGTGTGGAAAGGAGAGCAAGCCCTGGGGAGGGATGCCATAAACAGCTGCTGAGGGACAAGTGACAGGAACCCATTGTCTGCCTTGAGAATGATTTTTTTCCCTCTGGCTGCAGAGGCACCTGGAATGGCCTTGCTAGCCTAAGATTAGGCCTATAAGCAGTTTCCCTTCCTCTCCTATCTCAGTTTTCTGTTTGTGGCATTTACATCAGAATTTTTCCGTATCTTGTAGGGCTTCTAAGAGGAGAAATTAAAACTCTGCAGTCTTTAATGATTATTATCCAGCACCAACCAAGTAGTTAAATTTGCATCCATAATGCTGAATTGATCAGATACCAATCTACCTTAAAACTGCCAAGGACAGGAAACCTCACCTATTGTGGACATGATTTTCTGAACCCGAGAGAATTTCAAGCTCTCAGGGGCTAATCTGTTCCCAAGGGAAAGTCTTTGGGAACTCTTCTTTCTCAAGGTCTACTGTGAAAAACAAGGTTTTGGTTTCCCAAAAGAAGACACAGATGCTCTGAGAGTATTTTTCTCTTGTCCCACCAATGGGATGAGGATGGCATTATTCCTTCTACCAATCAAGTTAACCTGTACCAGAACACCTTATAAAAAGGGTTGAAAAACCCCGAAATAAAGGCTTTTGCCTCATGAAGAAACCTCTGGCTGGATGTTCTGATCCGAACCCTCACTCTCTACTTCATGTCCTCTAGCAACACACCTATTTGAATTTCCACTGCCAAGACAGACCAAGTTGTCTGTAGGGACTAGAAACAGCAGCACTTGTAAGAAGACTTCACTGCCAATGGTTTACAGCCTTTTGCAGTACAACAACTAAACTCGTAGCCCACTGTGCCCAGTGAGTTGTAGACAAGTAAGACACGGTGTAGACATCCTTCTGGGAACCAGAAAAAACACTTAGGATAGCACTGGTGCTATCAGTGTTCACTTGATTAAGACTGTATGGGCCAGAGAATGGGTTATCAGTGAAAGAAAGCGTTGCTTAGATTTGACTGAGAGGTCAGTTTTAAAGAACTGTTTAACTTGAGGGAAAGATTTCAATAAAGATGGCAGGGTAGGAGCAATATTAGAGTGAAGGGCTCAAGTTTACAAAAAGCACAGTTAGATTGTGTTGAGCCTGCCTGGTGGTATGTGGAAGGCACAACAGAGAACAGAAATAGCTAAATCTGGTTGCTCTTACTCTGCTGTGTTCTCTAGCCATTTTTTTGCACATTTGTCTTCTCAATCTGCTTTCAGTGTGGCAAAGGACAATGTATTCAGCACGTGGTGAACCTCTTTTGAGTAAGCCTGAACCGTAGTTTAACCCTTACAACAAAAGCCATAGCCTGAGGGTCTCTTCTGACACTTCTGACACTTGCTAGAAAGCCTGGGGAAGCAGCACAGATATCGGCAGGGACTTTTTGTCAAATAAAGAGTAAAACAGGAAAATAAAAAGCTGTTCTTGCACCTTAACTGTTCCAGAAATAACCATGCATTTTGTAAATAATCAGTAAATAAAGTTAGATGGGCCAGTAAGTAAACAGAGGTTTACCAGAGATACTGCTAACCAACAATATTTAAATGCACCCATGCCTTGCTATGCGACAGGGTAAGGAACAAGAAATATTTTTCTATAAGGAGAGTCTCAGACTAAGAAATTCAGATTTGTTTTGAATTGCTGAAGAAAGGACAAGATGGGTGGAACGGCATGAACCAGAACCAACAAAATGTTAACCCAAATTTTTGCTGTGGAAAGCTCTTTCCTATTTTGTCAGATAAATTCTCTGCATTCCAAGACAACTTGCAGCAGAGTCCCCCTCAAATCTGTGCCTCCAGCAGATGTATCTGAAAAGTTTGAGATTTCTCTTCCCATTTTGTCAATGACTCTCTTTTCCATTTTACCTTTTTCCTCCCCAGTTATTTAATTTCTGAAATACTCTTGCCTAGTGACCACAAAGAACATCTGACATCTACTTCAAAGACCAGTAGCTTTAATCTGTCAGTTATCTTGACCAATGTTCCCATCACAGGAAACATGCAAAATATGGCAATTCTGTCAGGAAACTTTGCAAATGCCTTAGATGTCCTTGAGTAAAGAAACAATGCTCTAGACAACATTATGAATTCTTGAAAGTATTCTTCATGATGTTGAGAAAATCTGTGGAATTGTGAATTCTGTGGAAACTAGGATTCTTTAGCTGGAGAGCCATAAAGACATATTAGTAAATAGGAAGAGATTTAAAAGATTCATTGTCTTTGGCAAGATTGTCAATGTTGATTCAGCTGCTGTTTTCTATGGCAAAGACTTGTATTTTCGAGCTCCAACCTTAACTCAAAGAGAATGAAGTCTTTAAAATGGTGAAGAAAAGGACTTGATGCAAAGATATCTTGAGTATTCCTCATACTACCTAATTCAGATTTACTTTGCCAGCAATCCCAGTCATGATTATTGGAAGAGTTGAATTACTAAGCAATAGGAAAACACAACAGCAAATTATAGTTCCATTCAACATTGCCCAGAGAATTAAAGAACTCTGAAATGGGGTATTTCTTTTTTTTGTGGGCAGCTGTTTCCCAAGATGAGCTAAGCTTTGAAAAGTAACAGAGCTCAAAGCACAAATTGCTCCAGTTGTCAGGGTGCTGATTGTATGTGGTGTCTTCTAATGACTCTGATTAAGAAATTTATCCTGGATTCTTTAAGAAAAACAAAAATCCAACCAGTAACTCTTACCATTAAAGCAATCCTCTCCAGACTGCAAAACCAGACACTTGAATCTGGCTCCAAGTTATTGACCATGTATTTGGTGTGAGATCTACACAACAGACTTGTGGAATAGAGCCTGCACAATGGATCACCTAACACACAGATCCTCACACATCAGGGCACAGCTCAGAGCAGAACTGACACTTCAGGGTGTGGAATATTTCCTAAACTTTCATGGAGCACTGTCCCTCTTCTCCCCAGCTCCAAGAGCCCACACTATGGACTGATGCTCAATTTACCAACAACTACAATCCCCACAAGCTCCCCTTCCACAGTGCTGCTGTCCAGCACCCCATTCCCCAATCTGTCTGTACATCCAGGGTTGCTCCATACCAAGGTGCAGAATCCAGCATTTATTAATGGTTGGTGACCACGCAGGCCTTTTCATGGTCCCTTGAGGGAATCTTCAGTTCCTCCCAATTTAGTATAGTCAGCAAACTTAGTGCTTCTTCCGGTCCTTACTTAATATTCCTTCCAGATCTGCGTCCAGGTCATTAATGATGATGTTGAAGGGAATGGACCTGAGGATGGAACCCTGCAGAACTCCATTAGTGACAGGACCCACTCGTGATGTCACCCCATTCACTAGAGCCCTTTGTGCCTGACCCGTGAGCCAGTCACTCACTCATCATATGATGCGTTTACCCAGCTGAGTGCTGGGCATTTTGTCCAGAGGGATACTGTGAGAGATGGTATCAAAAGCTTTACTGAATCTTCCCCATTATTTTATTGGGCATTGAAGTGAGACTGACCAGCCTGTAGTTTGCATGGCCATCCTTCTTGCCCTTCTTGAAAACTGGGACAGTATTTGCCAGCTTCCAGTAGCCTGGGACATCTCCAGATTCCCAGGATCCAGAAACCATTGAGGTCTCATGCTGACACCAGCCAGCTCTTTGAGTACTCTTGGATGAATCCCATCAGGCCCCATAGACTTAGAGGGATGCAGCTGAAGCAAATCCTGCCCAGGTTCAGGGTTGGCCAGGAGTTTATGGTTGTCACAGTCATGAGAAGTCAGTTTAATACAGAACAAAGAGTCAAACAGAATGATTTAGCAATCTGCTCAGAATACT